GCCGCAACGGGCGCGGGGGCGATTCCGAAATAAAGTTGTGGCGCCTCTTCAATAGAGGGAAGGAAGTAAGATAAGAAAAGAAGGAGGAAGAAGAGAAAGAAGAAGGAGAGGGTGGAAGCCGGGAGGAAGGAAGGGGGGAGGGGGGAGAATAAAGAAAGGGTCGCGGAGCCACCTGAGAATCAAGCAGGAAGAGGAGAGTGGAAAAGATAGCTCGGAAATAAGCACCAACCCTATGAAATTACTCCAAGCCAGGCGTGGTCCGCCGGCCGCCAGCGGCGCGGGGGCGAAGCCGAAGGCGCCTCCTGTGGAGTCCTTCAAAGATAGCTCGGAGAATGGGGTGGTCGCCCAGAGTGCGCCAGGCGCCGCGCCAGGCGTGGGCCGCGGCCGCAGCGGGCGCGGGGGCGAGGCCGAAGGCGCCGTCTGTGGCGCGAGCGCTCCGTGCGAGCCGGCGGCGCGAGCGGGGCCTCCGAAAGGACCCGACAAGCAGTCCGTGCGAGCTGGCGCGAGCAGGAGCGGCTCTGGGGCGGCCTGACAAGCATTCTGAAGAGCGAGCGCGAGCGGGCGCGCCTCCGCAGCGGCCCGAAAGGCGCTCCTTGCGAGCCGGCGCGAGCGGGAGCGGCTCCGGAGCGGCCCGACAATCATTCCGTGCGAGCTGGCACGAGCGGGAGCGGCTCCAGAGCGGCCCCAAGCAGTCCGTGCGAGCCGGCACGAGCAGGAGCGGCTCCGGAGCGGCGCGCCAAGCATCCCGTGCGACCCTGCGCGAGCGGGAGCGGCTCCGAGGTGGCCCGACAAGCGCTCCGCGCAATCCGTTGCGACGCGAATCCTACGTGTTTTACGAAGGAATACGGCATCGGCAGGCCCGAAATCTTGCCGCCGCGACGCGAATCAAACGTGTTTTACGAGGGAAGCGGATCCGAAGCGAGCCTGCTAAGCGCAGGCCGATTAACACCGTGGCAAACCCCGCGAACGCTAATACGTAGTGTAAGCCGCCGCCCACTAGAGGTCCTTGGCCTTCTCCGCCGCCCACTAGAGGCCTCTCGGCCTTCTCCGCCGCCCACTAGAGGCCTTTCGGCCCTTGCCGCCGCCCACTAGAGGCCTCTCGGCCTTCTCCGCCGCCCACAAGAGGCCTCTCGGTCTTCTCCGCCGCCCACTAGAGGCATCTTGGCTTTTTCGGCTGCCCACTAGAGGCTTTTCGGCCTTTTCAGCAGGAGGAAGAGGAGGAGGGGAAGGAGGAAGGAAACAATAAGGAGGAGGAGGAGAAGGAGGAGGCGGGAGGAGGAGGAAGAGGAGGAGGGAGGAGGAGGAGGAGGAGGAGGAGGGAGGAGGAGTATTTTTGGCGCCTTTGGCGAAAGTTACCAGGGCTGCGATTTGCGCAACTGTCGCCACTTTCGCGGGCTCCTGGGAGACCCAGCGGAGGTGGGTCCCACGCGGACCATCTCGAGAACTCGCGGCGCCCCTGGGGGCTGCGATCTGCGCAACTGTCGCCACTTTTGTGGGCTCCTGGGGGACCCAGCGGAGGTGGGTCCCACGCGGCTCATCTCGAAACCTCGTGGCGCCCTGGGGGGGCTGCGATTTGCGCAACCGTCGCCACTTTCGTGGGTTCCTGGAAGGCCCAGCGGAGGTGGGTCCCACGCGGACCACCTCGAGACCTCGCGGCGCCCTGGGGGGCTGCGATCTGAGCAACTGTCGCCACTTCGTGGGCTCCTGGGAGGCCCAGCGGAGGTGGGTCCCACGCGGACTACCTCGAGAACTCGCGGTGCCCTGGGGGCTACGATCTGCGCAACTGTCGCCACTTTCGTGGGCTCCTGGGAGACCCAACGGAGGTGGGTCCCACGCGGACCATCTCGAGACCTCGCGGTGCCCTGGGGGCTGCGATCTGCGCAACTGTCGCCACTTTCGTGGGCTCCTGGGAGGCGGCCAAACGGAGGGGGGTTCCATGCGGACCACCCAAGGCCTCGCGGTGGGCCCGGGGGGCGTGCGATTTGCGCAAACTGGTCGCCACTTGTCGTTGCTCATCCTGGGAGGCCAAGCGGGAGGTTGGGGCCCACGCGAATCATCTCGAAACATCGCGGCGCCCTGGGGGCTGCGATCTGCGCAACGTCGCCACTTTCGTGGGCTGCCTGGAATGCCCAGCGGAGGTAACCGTCGCGCGGGGGGGGACGGGTGGTGGGCGGTCGGTAGGGGGGGGGGACGGGTCGGGGGGGGTCCCGCCCCCCAACCGCCACCTCGTACGACGGGGTCCAGGGCACCTCCAGGGCACACGCTTGGACGACTGGAGACCTCGCGGCGGCCCTGGGGAGACTGCAATTTGCGCAACTGTTGCCACTTTCGCGTGGGCTCCTGGGAGGCCCGCGGACGTACTTCCCACGCGGACAACCTCGAGACCTCGCGGTGCCCTTGGGGGCTGCGATCTGCGCAACTGTCGCCACTTTCGTGGGCTCCTGGGAGGCCCAACAGATGTACGTCTCACGCGTTGCCGCTGCTCTTCTTGCTGTGCTGTTCTGATTTCACTGCTGGGTGCTCTTCTTCCGCACTGCGGGTTTTCAGCATGCCCGTCAGCATTGAGTGGTCCTGAATATGATCACGACATGTATAGAAACGGTTGGGAACGTCGCGGGGTAATTCCTCGCTTAGCCGGGCCTGCGCCCCCGTTTTTGCGTGAGATGATAAAAAGCACGCTCGCTCCGCTTCTGCCTAGCCGTGTGGGGGGGCTGTGTATCTGTGCCCGCACTCGGTCACCATTTAACATCCTTTTGGGGCCACCACAATAGCCTCTTGGGACGCTCTTGGGCCTCGCTAGGGGCGATTTCAAACGGTCTTGGGGCCGTCCTTAGAACATTTTGGGCCCTTTTAAAACATTTTTCGACAATCGATTGCATATGGCTCGAAAGCTCCAAAGCCCCACACCCCCATATCCGACATCCCATCTTCATCCGCGTCCCACTTACCGCGTACATCTCGTCTTTCGCACCATATGTATTCTCCTCTCGCCGCCGCATTTCGCCGCCAACAACCAATGACATGGGTTTCAGAATTCATCCAACGTTTCGATTGGGCTGATTGGGGAACTACGTTATCTGGTTGGGGGTATTCAGTGTGGTGGGGAACCGCAGCAGCAGAGTCAACGGCCGCGTATATGTCGTCGCTCCCTCGGGATTGTTACAAAGCGACGGTCCACACTGCATCGGTATGTGTAGGATGGCTGCCGAACTTATATGTTTTCCAAAGGTTTGGTCCGATCGCATTGCCATGGGGATGGTTGATCGCTGGAGTGTTTCTCTGAGCTTTTTTGGGTTACTTCGTCATTGCTACGGTGGCCCACAAATGCTGCCGCAGGTCACGCGTCATCACACATAACCTATCTTCGGCGGTAAGCGATACATATTTTGCTGGCATCCCGCACAACGACGCGGCCCAATTAGATGCGATACGATATATCATGCATGGTGGGCCAGCCGCACTACACGAGATGGCCAGGAACGCACGGACTTCCGATTGCGATTTAATGCGGCAAGTGGTCTTTCCTGGAGCGGTGGGGGCTCCATGAAACCACCAGGATTGCAAGTCTGATGTGGGTTCGCATGGTGGAGGAGAAGGAACCGCTCTCATCAGCGGCGGGCGGCCCTTCTGGCGTACTCGGGCCGAAATCTTGCTGATGTGGAAGCAGGTCTGGCGCGCGGGCTATGGCGATACGGTAGGTTCGTGCGGCGTCAGCGCGCGCAGAAGCTTTTGACACAGCATCGATCATTCAACCTTGAATCGATCGCGCCCCGCCCGTTCAAAATTGAATTCCGTCGGGTCTGGCGGCGTCACAGTGTTCATTGATGCTTTCGCGTCGCAGAATTCAACCTTGAACGCCTTCGCCGGCAACGCCTGCGCGCCATCGCCGCGTGAACCTACAGTACGCGTGCGTGCCAAGCATGTGGATTCGAGACAGGCTGCCAACATTATCGGATTTGCAGCAGCCTTGAGCGAGGGCAGACTCGCGTGGACGTGGTGGAGGAAGGCCTTGTGGGGTGGGGCACGATCCGCGTGAGGAGTGAGCCGCAATTCGGCGGCGAGCCCAGGGGGGAAGTGAGAAGGAGAAGGCCTTCTAAGAATGCTCGGAAGTCCCCCCGGCCTTCTGAAAAATAATCTGAGCCTTGCTCGAAGACATAGAACACTTCTCAGAAGGCGCGAGGGCTTCCGAGAAGCCCCGCCACCTTCTGAGAAGGCCTTCTCCTTCTCACTTCCTCCCCTCGCGCGTCGCCCAGAAGCGGGCGGAAAGACCGCGTGCAAGCGCCCTCACTGGTGCCTAGGGGCACGGTCCGTGTGGCGGGGTGTGTAGGTGGGTCTCGCCATCGCTCGGACGTCCACTCCCCGTGCGTTTTTCGGTTTCGTGCATTGTTTTTTCGCACGATGATCCAATATTCTCCTCAATGAGAACCTGGCCGAGAAGACAGGCACTCGTCCGAGCGATGCCACGGGGTAGGGGCCAACTTGGCATGCGGACGGGGAGCGGAGGCAGGGAGAGGACGAGGAGAGAGCAAAGCAGCGCCGATGATCCGATGACGCACCACTGGGAAATAGGAATGCAACCAGAGGCACCAATCAAGGAAGATGGGCGGATCGGGCGTTCGAGACCTACTCACGAGGCTCGAGATTCTGTGTTTGAGCCCTACGGGGGGAGACCTCTGGCAAAAGCGAGACTTCATATTTACGAGGATCAAGGAGGAGGGGGAGGAGGAGCAGGAGGAGGAAGGAGGGGAGGATGTGAGGAGAAAGGGGGTTGGCCGCGGCGCTGCGGATTCAAAGCGAGTGCTAAAACCACAACCTTTTGTCAACATAGTTTGACCTTGGCCTGTTTCGCTTTCATCGGCCCCTGAGATTGCCCTAATGCTGCCCCTAACTATGCTCCCCGTATCGCCCGATGCAACCAAACATTGCCCCAGTGTTTCCAATACGGCCGAAAAAAGGGGTCAAAAACATCCCAATGAGGCTTCAACGTCCACAAGATGGCCCCAGATTTTGGGCTTCTTCGTTCGCCTCCTGCGACGTCGATACCTCCGACAACGCCCCACAACTGAAGCCCCGAATCACTCGTAATCGCGGATCTCGACGCCGACTGGGAACCGAGGAATCCCGTCATCGCTGAGGCCCTGGTACCTGACGGTCAGGAGCTTGCCGTGGAACTCATCCTCGAAGCACTCCTGCACGCGCTGGAAGCAGGCGCGCCTCTCGCCAACATTGCCCATTGGCCTGACAGAGAACACCTGCTTGTCCTTCGTCTCGCACTTCCAGACGACAGTGCCCGCCGCGGTGCCTTCGCCCTCCTCCCAACCCACGATGGCAAACTCCGCGTCGTCGAAGCGCTTGAACTTCAAGAGGCTGGCAGACCTCTTCCTGGTCTCGTAGACCCCAATCGGGTCGCGCACCACGACCCCCTCGTACCCCTCGCGAAGCCGGTTGCCGAGCTCCCTCTCGATCGCGCCCGGCAGGTCCTCGCCGCGGTGCAAGGTCGACTCCACTAACAAGACGCTCGACACGCTGGGGCCAGCTCTCCTCATGATGTCCTGCACGAGGTCCCAGCGCTTCTGGAACTCGAGATCATGGCCCAGCTGGAAGCAATCGAAGACGTAGAGGCGGATCCTCCCAAGGAGCTCGTGATTCGGCTCCTTCAAACGCCTCACCGCCGACACCACCTCCTGTTGGCACGCCCCAGATGGGTACGTACACAGCAAATATGCTGCCAAACCACAGTTTTTGTCCCAAACCGACACTGACCGCTGTTGGGCTGTCTCAAACGGACAACATCCGCGGTGACACCGAGAGCGAACCTGGTCACTATGATCGACCCACGATCCCAGGAATGAATTTAGAACTGCGAGGCATGGACTCGTCTCAAAATACCTCGATTGGGCCATGTACAATTGCAATGTTGAAGATCGATGGTGATGATGTCGTGTCAAGGGCTTAACTGCGCTGCGCTGTGCAACGCTGCGCCTGCACATGAACGGTACAACATCGAGGACTGCACGCAGACGGTGCACCACATACTTTTGTACGTAAGAGGTGCAAGCTCGAGAGGCGCTCGTCAACGGTACAGGGTAGAATCCGCCGACTCTGTGTCGGCGTGTGGAAGAGGCTGGTCGGTTCTTCTCTGTTCCCTCTGAGGCTGTCCTGCCGGATGGGTGAGGAACGACGCCTATCCCAGGAAGCCCGCGAATCCCGCAGTGCCACCAAATTCCCTCAAAAATCTGAAAAAAAACCTTTCCTTTTCTTCCCTTCCCGCCGGGGAGGTGGGAAGGGGTCCGGGGGAAATCCCGGGTCAGATGCGCTTCCCCCCCGGGCGGTTCGGCCCTGGCCCCAGCCCCGGCCCCGGTCCTGGCCGGGCTCCGGCCCTGACCCGGGCCCTTGGATCCGGCTCCGGTCCCGGTTCCACCCCCGGCCCCGGCACAAGAAACCCGCGAATCCCGGTGTTCCACAAAATTCCAAAGAGACGTCGAATCCTTCCCTTTCTTCCCTTCCCGCCGGGGAGGGGGGTGTCCTGGGGAAATCCCGGGTCAGATACGCTTCCCCCCGGGCGGTTCGGCCTTGGCCCCAGCCCTGGCCCTGGCCGGGCTCCGGCCCCGACCCCAGCTGCCCAGCGGCCCGCTGAGATGACCAAAAACAGTTCAGATAGTCAAAATGAAATTCTGGTAGATCAAGTTAACTTGATCTTCCAAATCTTAACTTGATCTTCCAGATCTTAACTTGCCCTTCGAGATCTTCCATATGTTACATAACTTGAACGGTGCAAGTTGTGGAAGATACTGACATTTTGTGTGTTGTTGTTTTTTTGAGCGGTTTGTACAGTGGTTCTAGTTGTGGAAGTTCGGTTTTGGAGTGATTCTAGTTGTAGAAGTTGCGTTCTAGTTAGCTGTTGCTGTTTTTTGTTATTTGTTTCCATTTTTGGGCAAAAACACATGCGTTGCGAACATAGGTTTTCTACAATTTCGTGTTTTAAGCAAAAGATGCGCTATGTCTGCCCCCCGTAGCGTTGTATTGATGTTTTGTTTCTCGAGCGCTTTGCGCTGCCAGCGCTTCATGTTTTCATGTTTTTGGCGCTATCCATCGCTTTGCGCTGCTCCTATCCCCACAGCTGCATGTCGGGCACGGAAGGCGAGTTCGTTGAACCGCCCGCCATGGCGGCCCCGAAGGGGGATCGATCGGATTGGGGGGCGGGCAGGGTGGAAGGAGAGGGGGGGGGGGTATTGGGAAGCCAGAGACAAGCGATGGACGGCATGATTTTTTGTTGTAGGGACGCATGCCTGTGATTGATCCCGATCGCTTTTCGTGTTTTTATTCCGGCTGGCGTTTGAATAAGCCCCTCCTGGCGGGGCAAGTATGTGCGCGATCCGCCCAAGGATCCCAGGATTAAGTTTTCCGACTTCAACTCCGATCCGATGTGCCTGGTGCTGAAGTTCGCGGACAGGGAGGGGCGGGGGGGGCTGGCCAAAGGACACGATGGTTTTTTGGATGCGGTGTTTCCCGACGGCAGGGTGGAGAAGACGGAGCAGCCCAGCGCGTCGCTTGCAGCGAAATCGAAGGCGAACGCGACGGTTGCCAAGAAAGGGGAGGGGCAGCAACGATGGCGCTTGAGAAGCCCGCATTGGCTAAACAGACCGCAGCCGTAAAACTGATGATGGAGACGGCTGCGGGCGTGGAGGGGGGGGGGGGAGCAGTTGAAGTCCGATCTCCCCGTGGAGGCCGATGCCGTCGACGCTGGGCCCCCCGCTGTCGGCGGCTCCCAAGGGCGCAGCGGGGTGCGTTGCAAGAGGGGCCGCGCGATCGGGTTGAAGCGGGCGCGCGGCGGGAAGAACCAATTCGCGAGCTTCGGCGGGAAGAAGCACAGAGACACCTTGACCGAGGGCGCGCTCCGGGAGATCGGGGGAGAGCTGAAGGCGGCTTTGATCCTCGGCGCCGTGGCTGAGGAGGCGGCCGAGCGCTTAGCGCAGTTGCCGGCAAATCGCCGCTCTTCTTATGAATTGAATGAATACGATGCCTGCGCGGGTGCCTTCTGTCAATATATCGTTTGCCCTGCATGTGGGCGCGCTCTTGCTCTGCTTGGCACTGGGGAGAGACGCAGCTAAGCCCGCCTCCCATCTGCGCCACCTGGCTGCGCTTATTGCACCGCTTTGGCCCGTTCCGCAAGGACAGCCGCATCGGCTGGGCCGCCCGCTCTTGGCCCTGCTGCGAGCGCTCCCAACTGCCGCCGCTGTTGGCGATGGGCCAGTGCACTGCGTCGAACTCATCCTCGTCCTCTTCGCCCTTCTCTTCCTCCTCGCAATCAGCGCGCGTGCCCCTGCCGCGAAGGTCGTCGCCTCCAGGCGGCGGAGGGCCGCTTCCAGGCGCGGCGGCTGTCATCGTCGCTTGGCCCGCGCCCGCGCCCGCTCCAAACTGCGCGCTGCTGCTACCCCTTTCGCCCGCTGCCTTGCCCCTGCTACTTTCGCCCTTGCTGCTGCCCCTGCCCACCCCGCGCCTGCCCCGCCCCTCCCTCCAGAGACGGTGGCGCCGCCGTCGCCGAGAGCAGCGCGGGCAGCGCCATCTGCGCCGCAGAAGCTGCCGGGGGCCAGAAGCTGGAAAAAAGGTTGCCCCTGGCTGGCCCCTTTGCATGCGTCGCGGCTGCGCGGGATCAAGCGTTCATATTGGCTTGCGACGTAACGAATTGGAGACGCACGACGCTGCCGTTTTGAAAAAGTCATGGGCCCTGCTAAACCTGCCAAACGACCGCCCCTGCCCCCCGGGGAAACGTGTCCTGGGGGGGGGGGGGGGGGCGACCGCCGTGCCAATGTTACCTATCAAACCATCAGCGAATCAGAGAGCCAGTCAACCCACCAATCAATCAACCGATCAACGTATCAATGTATCGATCTAAGTTATTTGTGCGTGTATATATATATATATATGCACCCGGCGACCCGACCAATGGTTGCCAGCGTAAACGCCGCCTGCCGTCAGCAAACAACAACAAACACAACATAACAACAAAAAAACAACGCAAACGCAGACCGGAGCAAGCGACGCGTGTCAGCCCAGCCGCGAACCGACGCGAACGCGGAGCCCGAAGTCGCGAGAAGGGGGCCTGTCAGACGCATGCCGCGAGGAGGGGGGGGGGGGGGGGGGGGGGCTAGACCGCGCCGGTGCCGTGGAAATCCGCTGCGGCCAGCCAGACATGTCCGCCTGATAGAGGTCTCTCGGTGGTCATGAGGCGCGTCGCCATAGCGTCGCAGCCTCCGGTGCAAGAGGCAATTTTCTGAAGGGAGGGAGGGGGGGGGGGGCGGGGGGAAAGAGAGAGAGTGATTGAGAGGGAGAGAAAAGAAAGAGAGAGAGAGAGAGAGAGAGAGAGAGAGAGAGAGAGAGAAACCAAAAAAAAAGAGAAACAACTACCAAAGAGAGAGAGAGAGAGAGAGAGAGAGAGAATATATAAGATAAGATAAGATGAGATAAAAAAGATAAGAGAAGATAATGGAAGAGAAGAGAAGATAATATAATAAAGAGAACGAGAGAGAGAATAGAGAGAGAGAGAGAGAAGAGGAGAGAGACAGAGAGAGAGAGAGAGAGAAGAGGAGAGAGACAGAGAGAGAGAGAGAGAAAGAGAGAGAGAGAGGGAGAGAGAGAGAGAGAGAGAAGGGGGGAGAGAGAGAGAGAGAGAGAGAGAGAGAGAGAGAGAGAAAGAGAGAGCGGACAAGTAGGCGGACCAGGGTCCGTCCGCGAGGCGCACTGCGGTGCGACAACTCGCAAAACACTATTTGCGGCGGTGCAGCCTTAAGATACGAGGGCGGGCAACAAAAACCCCCTCCCCCGGCGCAGTGCGACAGACGCTACAGACGGCGGACAGACGGTGAAGATCTCACCTGTCAGACCGCGTGAGGAAAGAGGCCCCAACAAGAAAGGCGACGTGCTGACACGTGGCTAGGCGGCTTGGCAGACCGCCAGTTGGGCGCTTGGCCGCAAAGCGGCGCGCAGTGACGGGGCACCCCCCGCCCCCACGCCCTGACACCGTGGACGCGGAGCCACGCGTACACACGGGCAGGCAGAAAGGAGGAGATTAGCGCGGGGCACCAGGTGGAGCGCCGCGGAACGATGACAGCATAGCTTGGATGGTGAGTGACGGCACGGCACCATCGGGCGAGGGCGTAAGCAGCTCGGCGAAGGCTCGCCCGGCGCTGTGGAGGCGCTGGAGTAGAGGGCCTTGACGGGCTTGAGCGGCGGCGAGGTCCGCGGCGAGAGCAGCACACCTCTGCTGGAGAGCGGCCATAGCCTGGGACAGCTCGGTTTCGCGGTCGGTGAGGGGAGGTTGCTCAGTGCCAGCGGCCGCGGGCCTCGTGACAGGGGTGAGGTCCTCGGTACGCCTGGCCAGGTGGTGGACTAGCGTAGTACGGCACCCCGTATGCTGACGTCCGTCACCCTTGAAAGGTGACTGGAGGGGAGCACGCGGCCCCAGGGCTGGAGCCGCTAGGGTCACGCCCCGAGAGGTCGGAAGAGCCGCATCCTCTCGCTCAGCAACGATGGAAGCGTGGGCGGGGTGCGAGGGCCTGCCTGGTTCAGTGCCCTGCGGGGGGGCTGAAGCCGCCCCCGCGGGCTGCCGCTGGTGGGGGGGCGGAATGGTTTGCGCGGTGGGGCCAATCCTGATGCCGTACGAGGGCTCTGAGGTCAGCCGCGT